TTTGGCTGATCCTCGTGTGGATCCATCAACAGAAGCCAACCAGGCCTTCAGATGGGCAGCTGCAAAGGGACATCTTGAAGTGGTACGGCTACTTTTGGCTGATCCTCGTGTGGATCCATCCGTGCGCAACCAGGAGGCTATCAAGAAGGCATCATCTGGAGGACATGCCATGGTAGTGCAGCTGCTGTTAACCAATCCTCGTGTGGATCCATCAGCAAACCATCAGGAGGCCATCAAGACTACATCACGGGGCGGATGCAAGCAGGTAGTGCGATTGCTCTTGAACGATCCGCGAGTGGATCCGTCGGCAAACAACAACGAAGCCATCATAGAGGCTGCATTCAAGGGATACACTGAAGTTGTACAACTCCTGCTGTCTCATCCTCTGGTGGATCCTTTTGCACGGAATTATGAAGCCATCAGAAGAGCAGAGAAACGCAGATGCACAGAAGTCGTAGATCTGCTGTGGTATCATGAGATGAAAGTAGCTTGGGGAGACCTTCTTTACACACAAGCATGTGAGAAGGTAGACACAGAGGACTGGGAAGATCTTGAGCGGCTCTTTCTGTCACATCCACTTGCAGATCCATCAGTTATAGACAACATCACTATCCGTTATGCCTCATGCATGGGCTTGATCAAATTGGTAAGGACACTGATGTCCGATCCACGTGTGGATCTGTCAACAAGAGACAACGAGGCCTTCAGATGGGCAGCATCAAATGGACATCATGAAGTGGTACAGCTACTTTTGGCTGATCCTCGTGTGGATCCATCAGCAAGAGACAACGAGGCCCTAAGATGGGCAGTCGCAAACGGACATCATGAAGTGATACGGCTACTTTTGGCTGATTCTCGTGTGGATCCATCAGCAAGAGACAAAAGGGTTGCCTTCAGATGGGCAGCTGCAAATGGACATCTTGAAGTGATACGGCTACTTTTGGCTGATTCTCAAGGCCTTCAGAAAGGCAGCCGCAAACGGACATAGTAAAGTGATACGGCTACTTTTGGCTGACTCTCGTGTCAATCCATCTGTACGCAACCAGGAGGCTATCAAGAATGCATCATATGAAGGACATGCCATGACAGTGCAGCTGCTGTTGACCGATCCTCGTGAAGAGCCATCAGTAAACGATCAGTACGCCATCAAACATGCGCCAGGTAGCACCACAGCGCGAGCGCTATTGGCTGACCACCGAGTGGATACAACAGCAGCTGTTGTTCCGACAGATAGTCAGCACAAGTAAGCCAACAGGAGTCGATTGCAGACAAGAGAGACATAAACTGATCTGTCGTACAATTCTGTCCTCTCTTTGTCTTTTCATCACTGACAGGGTCAACGCATAATCAGTATCTCTCATGGCTAGAAGTGAAATGAAACTGTGCACGACTCAAGTCATCTGGCCCGATGAACCGATATCTCACACGACGAAACATCGCCTTTATCTCAATGGTTCGGCTCTACCGTCTCTTCCTTCGAATGATCGATCGTCTTGTGACTGATCGCCTCATCCACTTTCGGTTCATCATAGTCCCACACGTACACTCTTGAATCTGCCCGTCCATCAGATCGTATCATCGCGATCATCATCATCACCATCACCACACGTCAGGAGAAGAGGTGATTGAGGGTGAAAGAGGATGTCTCTGATCTCGGCACCACCGTTTCGAATGACTGCGGCCAATTCTTTTGATCTCAGATTCCACAGAAAGACTTTGCCGTTCGTGGTGGGAGAGGCTACGTATCTGCCGTTGGTGGCGAGTCTCATGAGCCACAGATTAGATTGATATCTGTTTCACGTCAGCCACATGATCATCACGACTCGATGATGACGTCCATGATGGAGATCATCCACCGTGATCATCTCTGATCATGAGAAGCACTCACTCATCGTGGGCGTATTGGTCGACGATCTCAAATTCCCAGAAGTTTCCTCTCTTCCCCGGCATCGTCAGTTTGTGTAGAGTACACTTGTTCGCCTGCGTGACTGTACGATATCACTTTACACATTCTCTCCATCTTCACCTTTGCTAGAATTCTCTTCATCGACTAATTCGACACCCTTGGATAAGACAAAGTACTCTCCGTCTTCACATTCTAATTCTCTGGGACAGACGACTTCTATGCTATCGCAGAGATAAGAATATGGGTTAGGCCAACTGGCTACCATCTGTATGTCGTGAGTTGAGCGTGAAGAGAAGAAAAGTTGGGGAAGGAATGAAAGGAGAATTACGATGATATATGATGATATATAATGATGATATATAATGATGATATATGATGATGATATATCATGACAAGATGATGATCGATGATGATGATGAGATCACCTTTCCGTGTTGAAAATCAAACAGTTTGATATCTGTATCTGACGAAGCCAAGTAGTACCGATTGCCACAATCAGGAACAAAAGTCAACGAGATGACCATGTTGGTTGTCAGATCGTCCATCATCTCCTTCTTCACTAGACCGTAATCTCGGTTCATCTTCCATTTGATCATGCGGCCGTCCTCACTGCCCGAAATAAGAAAGGTTTCGCCGTCGAATTTGATTCTCTTCAGGCAAAGGATCTCTTCTTCGTGTCCGTGTAGAGTCTCCACGACCTGTGTCGGTGTCAGATTCTGTGCGTGGGATGGGTTGGATACCTCGCCGCTGGTGATGTTGAATACCTTGAGGGGGCAGGGGAGGATGTGACAGTCTTCGTCTTGGAGAGACCAGGAGGTTCTGGATTTGAGTTTGCCGCCGGCGATGATGAAGCGGCCGTCTTCACTCCAAGATAAGACGAAGAATTCTTCAATGTGTTTCTCCTGAGAGGAGTCAGGATCGTCATCATGATGATCGTGATGGTGATCGTGATCGTGATGCCCGTGATGGTGATCGTGATGCCCGTGATGGTGATCGTGATGATCGCGATGAGAGATGTGGAGGCTCACCTTTCGATCTCTCATTTCGATGACCAATTTCCACGTGGTAGTGTTCCAGATCTGTATAGCTCCCAGATTGGTACAAGTAGCCAACATCTTGAAATCTGGAGAGAGCCTCATGCAATAGAAGGCACCTCGTTCACCATCAGCTGACATCTCATCACCATCTCTTCACCCTGATGGCTGATGACGTGTTGAAGTTTGAGCGGATGATGGTCGTTGATCTCGTCCATCATGTTGCCATCGGCTGGAATGGAAAAATAATGATCTGGATTGCTCTTGGCGAGTTTCATGATCTGAAAGAAGGTGAGACGATAGTGACATAAAAAGTCTTCACCTCTTGAGCGTTGAATTTGGGAGCGGGACCACGAGTGGCACCTGCACACCATGTGAGATGATGATCAGACGCATGCATCACCTGATTTGTCGACTTCGGCGACCTTCTGTCTGGTCTTTCCAGTTGTTGCCTTCTTTCCACCTCTTCCCTGAATGAGAGGTCAGAACATGATGAGTCTGATGCATCGTGTCATCTTTACCTTGGTCGTCTTCTTCATGAAATCTGCATCGGAGCTGCTGGAGTCATCGAGTTCAGAAGGAGATGAAGGGATCATCATATCTGATCGAATCACGTCAATCTCTCAACGTCATTCGAAGGGAATCACCCATTGGAGGAGAATCATCGTTCTTGACTGCACTATTCTTTGGTTTGGCTGCTGCTCCTCTTTTTGCTGCAGGCTCTTTTCTGACGGGTGGAGGTCTCTTCTCTTTCATGGGCTTCTCTGTCTCAGTTTCCTCCTTTCCATCCTCTTTCTTGGTCGTTTCTTTCATTTTGGCCATCGCAACTCTATCAGACTTTCGATTGTGAAGCTGATGTCGGTCATCCTCTATGTCTAGATGATACATCGCGAAGGATGCTCACCTCGATCTTGATTCCAGTGCAGTTCGGACAATGCCAAGTCTTTGGTATCTTCTTTCGATCGATGCCCACACAAGTAGAGTGGAACCAGAAGTGACACTTATCACAATCCAGCATGAATCGTCCTCCATAGCCTTGACCGCATATGCACCTCTCCTCGTCCGTGATCTCTTTGGAATCATCTGGTTCCTCCTCTATATCGACGTCGCTATTATGTGAGCTGGCCGACGATGCATCGGAGGCCTCTCGTTCGGTCATGTTCAATTGAAAAAGAATGTTGGCGGGAGATGATAAAATGGATCTCTCTCTACAAACAACGAGACAGACAAGAAGACCGTTGGACATCGGCAGCGCATCATGGCTGGAAGAGGTGCGAGGGGAGCGAGTAACTATAACTCGAACAGCAACACGACGGTGGTGAATCGTCCACCGGGTGGTAGAGGATCATCTCCCGCCGCCGTTGGCAGAGAGAGACCTACTTCAGTCTTGTTGACCGGTCAGGCCGTGAAGAGCGCCTACAAAGCCGCCTGCAAAGACTTCAAACCGCAAAAATGGAGACCCAATGTGTGCGGAGAATGCTTCTTCTTCAAGGAACACCACGGAAAGGTGAGAAATACGAAAGATGGAGAGTCTCTGACGATGAGTGACAGTCCGCATTAGAAGAGGCTCTGGCCAACATCCCCGCCAGCACAGCTGATCCGACGGAGGTGAGATGATATATCAAGCCGTGATGATTGGATCGAACATCGTCTACGTATCCTTCGAGATGTTGACCGACATCGCAGGTGTTCGAATTGATCGACATCATTGGTGCAGGTGTGTCGATGATAATCGACGTTGACACCGTAATGACATCTTCCAGGTGCATACGGATCTGTCTTCTTAGGTAGAGCCATCGGAACCGAAGAGCTCTACGCCATCAAGTTTATGGGTGACCCATCATCTCATTTCCATCCATCCCATATCATCCCCTCCCCCACCCATTCACCTCCCAACAGAGTTCGGAGGCCAAGAGCAGGTCAACGAAGTCATCTCCATCGTCAACGAGATCAACATCATGAAGCAGAGCACGAGCTGCCCGTTCGTAGTCGAGTGAGTGTCCTCTATATCGTCCTTCGTGTCCCTCCCTCTCGTGCTCGTGCTCGTATCTCATTACCGAGGCCGAGTGGCGCAATGGATAGCGCATCGGAATCCGGATCCGGAGGTTGCGGGTTCAAGTCCCGTCTCGGTCGGCCGAGGTTTTTGTATTTTATTTCGTTTTATTCTTTCCGTCTGACGTCGCGTGGGTTTGATGATGCGAGGGGTGACGTCGTGATTTGAGAGGGAGTCTTTACGTTGGACTGTATTGACTTGGAACAGGTACCACGGGTGCTACATGAAAGACGAAGTCATCATGATGGTGATGGAGTTCTGCAGCTGCTCCGTAGAAGGTCTGTCGATTTACGCATCATAACCTGATGCATCGTGCAGACATTCTATCCTTCTGTCCTGAAGTCCAATTCGAGGAGAAAGAGATTGCCGCCGTGTGTGCCGCCATCGTGAAGGGTCTCTCCTTCTTACATTCTTATGGAGTCACTCATCGTGCGTCGTCCCATCACATCACATCACATCGTGAACTGATGAGAACGTAACAGGTGACATCAAATCGGGCAACGTCCTCTTAAAGGAGACGGGAGAGATACGTCTGGCCGATTTCGGTGTATCTCACAAGATATCCGAGCGTGAGAACTTTAAAATCGATTTCTCGTCATTTATTTTCGGCAGAGCAGCAGGAGAAGATGAAGACTCTGGCTGGTAGTCCTTACTGGTGTGCTCCAGAGTGAGTCGCATTGTGATGAGACGCCGGCTCAATCGTTTGCGACAGGTTGATCTCTGCGGACAGCTACGACAATAAGGTCGATCTGTGGGCTTGTGGTATCGTTGCCTTGGAGATGGCAGAATCTAGACCTCCTCACTGGGATATGCAACCATTAGAGGTATATCCATCTCACCATCACATCAATCACATCGATCACATCAACATCAACACCACATCAATCACATCCACACCAATCACATCATCACATCCATCATCACATCACATCAACCACAACATCACATCATCACATCACATCAACCACAACATCACATCAACCACAACACCATCAACACAAACGATTGACCTCGATAGGTCATCTTACACATCCCCAAATCTCCCGCACCCAGACTAAAAGACACGAAAAAATGGTCTGCCGACTTTCAAGATTTCATTGAAAAGTGTCTTGTAAAAGATCCCAAGCAGAGATCCTGTGCCAAAGACCTCCTCTACGTGCGTGTTTTATTTCCTTTTATTCTTTTATTCCTGACGCCATCCAGCATCCTTTCATCCTGCAGGGCAGCAGCACGCAGATCATGAGCCCATTGGTGAAGAAGTGTCTTCCACTCTTGCTTCCACGCAAACGAGACGAACTCAAGGAACAGCAGGTGACGATACATCCTCGCTCATCACGATCACCATCTCTACACGATCTCATCATCTCTTCCTCTGCATCGCTTCATCATCATCATTGCACGAACTAAGACGTCCATAGGAGGAAGATGCAGACACGTACAAGGGAACTATGGTCTCTGTCAACAGAGATACATATCGTGCGGACATTGTCACGCAGAACGATCCAGTAGTGGACCGTGCCAGGAAGAACAGAGCCTCTGTTGCTCTCAGCGCTCCCGTTGTTTGATTTTATTAAAATAAATTGAAGGATGAAAAAGCGTGTAGTGTTCCTGATGTAATGTCTATTCAGACACCGCACGGGATCATCATGGTCTATCTGTACTACCACACTGGACTCATTACAACTGTTTTTGGATGATGACTCAGAGAATCCATCGATAAGGTTCAAGCACAGTAGATCATGAATACCATAGACATCCATTTAATCTGAATCACCAGGATCTTGAATGACATAACTCTTTCCGTTAGACTAGAAGTCGGAGAAATCATCTTTGACTTCATCTAACATGTCCTCTATAGCCTCCCATCCATCATCGTCATCGTCCATCTCTTCCACACGAACGGACAACTGCATCGTTCAACATGAGACAAGTCATCTCTTCCTAGCTCACGTGATGCAACCTCTCCGTCAAAACTCTTCGACTGGTGGTCAAGACGTCCATGATGTGCTCCCTGACGACACTCTCTGCACACTTTGTGAGCTGATGAGAAAGTCTTCTAGATACTCCGGAGCGGTTCACTATTTGTTTTACTTCCTCCGTCAGTGCATCACGCCATCGAGAGACGAATGAGTCCACCTGCATCACGAATCAGCTGTCGATCGGAGGTCACATCTTTAAACACACCCATTCAACGACTTGTGTCTCCGTCAAGAAGATAGGTTTAAGTACGTTTTCTCTCTCTTCGAGATTCTTCTTTTCTAATGTTCGAGCTAGACCATCGTGCCATCTCTTCATCTGTCGGGGTCAACGTCTCCACCTCAACTTTGCACGCTCACCGAGGTCGACTTGATGTCTTTCATGATCCACGGGTTGATGTGTTCTAACATACACGTGAACTGATGGAACGGCGGGTGTGAGGCGATGTCGTTCATTCCGCGTAAGATGTACCCCGAGATGAGATCTTTTAGTCGTTGTATGGTGTCTTCCGTCCCTTCCAGAGGCCGTTCTTCGTTGACGAACAGCAACTGAGGGTGGGTGTCACGACACGAGGCAGTTGGATGACATAGACGTACCTCTCCCAGTATTCGCAGTCGGCGAAAGCATTCGATCGCTCTATCCATCTTCTGTCCGTCCATCAGGTTCACAAAGTTGTCCAGCATGCTCTCGTCCGATCTCAAATCACCTTTGAAAGATGGTCAGATAGAGAGGCTGAGGTGATGATCCGGCTCACTGCATTGTTGAATGTAATGTAGAATGTGGGTGACAGTCCTATTATCAGCGGTGCACCGCTGGACATTGGTGTCGAAATTCTGTTCCATCTCCATCAGTGATGTGTGTTAAGGAACGTGGATCTCACGTCTTCTTCTGGAGCTTCGTATAGACGTCGGGACGTCATAGTGAGTTGAATCGCATGTTGTGATTCGAGACGTGTTAGAGGGACGTGGAAACTGCTGACAACAAGATCATGGATGTTAGGAGTGGCAAATAAGTGTCTCAATCTGATCCTCGTCAGGTGATTATCATCAAAAGATGGTATGATTCTTTCACCTGGACAAGGCGCGATGATCTGGATCAGAAGGAACTGTCTTCGAGACAGTCTTCCTACGACCTCTCATGCTCTCCTTGTTGTGACGAGCCCTTCAGCTAAATATTGGGCCGGCGCAAATAAATAAAAATCCTACTCATGATAAGGTCACCTGTGTTATCGTGACAGCTACCAACAGCAAACTTCTCATTGTCGTTTCGAACACATCGTTCACACGAAAATGACACTGCAACTTGCAACAGTGTTGTTCGTGTTGATTCCAATCACGCATTTTATTCTGAATACATCTTATTCTGAATTGCATACGTTTCGTCTTGTGATCACAAATCTTCATCTTCTTTCCGTCAGAACAGATTACACATGACGAACGGTCTCATCACCAGCCACGATGTTACCAGAATTATTTTATACACAGCGCTCAACAAAGGGGTCGATCCACCTTTTTTCCATCATCAGTCACATCGAGCGAGGAGGAAACAGTTTGCCATCCTTCGTAGCACGTGTAGAATATGGAAAGACATCGGTGAGATCGCACATCAGTCTCAGTTCTCATCATCTCAGTGGACGGCTTCACTGACTGTCTGACCAACCATGATCTGTCTCTGGCAGCGGAAGGCCACAAGTTGGATTCTTTTCGTTTTCTCTTGGCCCGTATTGAGTTAGACCCAACCGTGTACGACAATAGGCTTCTCATATTGGCATCTCATTGTGGTCAGACTGAGATCGTTCGGCTACTCTTGGCCGATCGTCGTGTGGATCCATCAGCGCAAGATAACCAGGCCATCAAAAAGGCTTCTCAACGGGGCAACATCGAGGTAGTGCGACTGCTCTTGTCTGATCCTCGTGTGGATCCATCAGCAGAAGACAACAAGGCCATCACATGGGCAGCTAAGAACAATCGCGTCGAAGTAGTGCGGCTGCTCTTGTCTGATCCTCGTGTGGATCCATCCGTGAACCACAGCCAATGCTTCAGACCGGCCTACAGTCGCGGCCACATCGAGCTCTTACAGCTACTCTTGAACGATCCTCGTGTAGATCCATCAGCGAGAGACAATCTGGCCATCAGAGAAGCTGTACTCTACAATTTCCACGAGGTCATACAGCTGCTCTTGTCTGATGACCGTGTGGATCCATCAGCGGCGGGCAATGATACCATCAGAACTGCATCACAAAAGAGGCAAACGGGGACAATGAGGCTACTGTTGGCCCACCCAAAGGTCGATCCAGCGGCACGTAACAACAAGGCCATCCGAACAGCAACCAGACGTGGCTATATAGAAGGAGTAGAGCTGCTCTTGTCTGATCCTCGTGTGGATCCATCAGCAAAGGACAGCAAGGCCCTCGTCCATGCCTTGAAGCATAGAAAGGCCATAGAGATGGTACGGATGCTCGTAGCCGACCCTCGCGTAGATGCATCGGTGCAAGATAACCTACTCGTCAAGAGAGTGGTCACGTGGGGCAATCGAGCCCGTGACATCCTGAAGCATCTCTTGGCTGATCCTCGTGTGGATCCATCAGCGACCATCATCAACACCAAGTATGGGTTCGTGAGGCTTCTCTTGGCCGATCCTCGTGTGGACCCATCCATACAAGACAATCAAGCCATCATCAACGCTGCGTTGCGGAGAGATATCGAGTCATTCAAGCTTCTCTTGGCTGATCCTCGTGTGGACCCATCAGCACAGAACAACAAGGCTATGATCAACGCATCATCAGCGGGTAATAGTGATATCGTCAGGCTTCTCTTGGCCGATCCTCGTGTGGATCCTTCAGCAAGTGATCAGGCGGCCGTCAAGAGTGCATCGCACAGAGGTCACGCCAAGACAGTCGAGCTGCTTCTGGCCGATCCACGTGTGGATCCATCTGCAGAGGATCAGTTTGCCCTCCGAATGGCTTCAAAGCGTGGACACGATGAGATCGTCAGACTTCTTTCGAGTCATCCAAAGGTCGAGCCATCCGTGAGGGACGACGAGACCATCACGCATAGCTAAATAAAGCTTTCAACCTTCACGAAGAACACGTAGTATTCTTATC